CCTGAGGTTCAGTGTCTGATTCTCCTCCACTTCCTCCAGCTCCTGGTGTTCTCCTTTCTGTATCTCTCTCTGCAAATGTTTCCCTCTTTTGGTCTCATGTTTCTGTCTTTTCCATGACATTATCTGGGCGTATCCAGGGTTAAGAACACAGGCTCTGGGTTCAGAATGCCTGGGTCTGTCCCTGCTCATTTGACCCACACACCTGGTCTCTCTGATTTCAGTTTCCTTATCTGCAAAATGGGCACTTAAGTAATACTAACCCCTAATGGCAGTGTGAGCACTAAACCACAACTGTCAGAGTAAATATTCAGTAAGTGAGTGCTTAGTAATATGTTTGATTTTATTGTGTTTTCTACCTTTTCCTTGTCTTTCATTTCCCCTCCTTCTTCCTCTCTCTCAAAGTACCCACATCCTCTTCTCCACATCTCTACCACTCCCTGTCTTCTCTCTCTAGATGACTGTCTTTCTCCTTAAATATTCCTGCCCTTTAACATCATCCCTCACATTTAAATCAGTCCCTTCATCTGTGATCATCAAGGGTCTCCTCTTTGACGTTGACCTTGGGCCCATAGTTCTTAGCCCTTCACAGTTTCATACTGGTCTTCTCCTAAGATTCCTTGTAAACCACAATTACTTCCAGGTCATCATTCTCTTTAAATCTGTTTTCCTGACTGAAACACTGGATTCCTGTTCCTTTGACTTTGTCACCTGGCCAATGGTCTCTTGTCAAAGCCCCTCCTCCAGGATCAGCCTCTGGTCACACGTTCACACAAACACCCCTCCCAGCCTTCTCCATGCTCCTCGGTGTTTCTTCCCTGGTCCCCAGTCTCCACTCAGGACAGGACCCCACCTCCCTTTCTGTTTTACTCTTATAAGAATATTTGGTTTTTATCTATTTGCAATCACCTTGTTCAAAGTTTGGTTGGATAGCAGGCCTCTCCTCCCTTTCTTCTCCAGCAATTTCTGGGAAAATTTTTTTGTCTGGTATCACTGAAGAGACGGCAAAAGAAGACAATTTGAGATCTCCATTCAGACCAAGGATGTCATCTCAAATTTATACATTTAGGAATTCCCAGGCCTCGGGTCACTCAGAGCTCAGTAGGTCCCAGTCCTCATGGTGTAGATCCCCCTTCATCCCTGGGGACAGAAAGGAGGACCCCCAACATGGAGCCTTTAAATCTCCCACACAGAAAGGGCCACCAAAATGTCAGGATGAAGGAGTCATGGATACATCCTGAGGCAGTTACTCATTGAAAAAGATTCAGATGGCCAGGAAAGCACATATATACTGGAAGTGAAATGTGTTTTCTGTCCTGCTCAGGCCACAAGGAAGGAACAGAGGGATTTCTTTGGTAGAAGGACTAAGATCCCACGTGTATAAAAGAGGAAGCACAAGAGCTTTAAAGATGGGGCTGGACAAGAGGAGGGTTGACTGAATTGGGTCAGAGAGGATGAGCGCTTCCAAAGGGACGCAAGGGGACAAACCAGAGGAACTAGACAGACTTCCGGGGGGGGGGGGGGGGGGGCGGGGACGGGGTGCCCAGGTCCCAGGAACAAAGGAAGGACACTTTCTGAAGCTGAAAGCAGGATGCACATTGTGGTGCTGGGGGGACGTCCCAGAGACGCCTGGACCAGGGACCCGGGAGGCTGACAGAGAGGGCAGGCCAGGGCACTAGCCCAGAGCTCCTGCATGATGGTGATTTAGCAAATGTAGAGAGAAAGGAAGTAAACCAAGAAGCCCAGGTGAGAAGGACTCTGCAGGCAATTGGGGAAGAAGACAGCAAGGAACCAGTGTGCCCACAATGCCCCAGGGCAGATGGCAAGTATACTTCCTGGGGCAATAAATCTGTTTATAAACCTTGTAACCTGCAGTATGTCTTCATTGTCTAGGAAATAACTTCAAATTACTTAGGTTTTGATGCTAGGCATTCCAAAACCTTTGTTTTAAAACCTATCCATCTTGAATAAATTCCCACAGTCTGCTTCTCACTCTGAGAGAAATCTAATTTGTCCCTGTTTTGCAGACACACCGGACCCCTTCACACTCTATTTCTTTTCCTGCAGCATCTACCCTCCTCAGTTCAGGTAATCATTTTTCTGTGAATTCTCCATTGTGACTTGGAGATTTTGGCTGGGACCAAACTGTGTTGGAATAAAAAGTTTTCTAGGCAAGTCAAAACAAAAATCACTTGAATGCATCTTCTTTACTGAGTCCCAGTTTAAAAAGAAAAAGTCATGCCTTCTCAGGGAAAAGTGGAGATTTAAACCTGTAGATTTGTAGAGTGTCATAAACCATCTCTGGCAGAGCAACTGGTTTTGTGATATTGGATTGTTTATCACCCAGTTGTAGAGAATGAGTTAATAAAACCATGATATTACTTTAAGGGCAAATTGGACCAGGGGTTAAGTTTTCTTGCTCATTACTCTGGACACCTGATAAAAGTGGCCTCTCTTTTGTGTTTCTAGGTCAACACTGGGTTTAGGGTGAAAAGTGACCTGTGATTGTAGGTAGATAACATGTGTGTGGCCTGGAAGGGACTGTATGTGAGCTATCAACTATTTTTGGTCTTCCTTCAGTGTGGTGACTCTTGTAACGTGGCTGTCCCTCGTGGGGCTCCTGGAAGCTATGACTGCAGAGTGGTTACATGAGACATTGACTCCCATGGGCATGGTGCTGCTGAGGCAGGATGCATCCCGCACCCACAGCCAAGCTGTCACTCAAGGAAGGCGGCAGTCAACTTGAAGGACTGCTGTGTGGATTGCTGCAAGGGGCGACACACAGGAGGAGCAACTCATGCTGCCTTACTGGGATGTTGTGTTCCCTGTCATTTGTCCTTCTAAGTAAATCTGATGCCACTGTGGGTCTGGTTGTCCTGTGAGTCTAAATGCCTGGTTAAGCAGATCTCAGCATGGGTGTTGTGTCAATGGCCATTTTATCATAGGATTTGAGAAGGCTCATGATACATGTGTTTTCTTAGCTGCCATATCCCCATTGCAATCATGGTGTGAGGTAGATGGTAGGAAATCAATAAACATATACCTGTGGGAAAAATTGGCCCTGCATATCAAAACGTATGTAATAAACCAAATTACCATATCTGAAGCTTTTATAAATGCATTTTAAATTGGGGTAATTCTTCATCATGACTTTGCAGAACAATACTTCTAGAATTGACAGGTGAAATGTCGCCTCCAATTTACTGAGAACATTGTACACCACTTCTTGTACAGAAAACCGTTTTCTACTAATAGATGCTTGAGACTCCTTAAAAAAAATGGAGGGGGAAAATATAAATACAGACCTTCAAAATAGATAGAGCCCTAGAAACTGATTTTATGGTTAATGTATTACAATTTCCATACATAGGTATCTTACATAAAGTTTTAGAATTTCTATGTGTTTTTATGACTACTAAGTGAAACAAATCTTTCCTCCTTCAAAACACCCATTTGTGAGCCTGATCTCCTCACCCTTGTTTACATTAGATGGAAGAAAAGCAATTTTGAAGAATAAAAAATGAGTTCAAGTTAAATAATCTTTAGCCCGTTTAGAGCCCAGTGAAATATATTAGAAATAGGCTTAGCAGGTGGGTTATGAGCAGCTGTTCTACTGACTGGACAACCTTTTCCCAGGACTGGCTTGGAAGGGCTCATGGAAGCCAGCTGATGACTTTCCTCCTACTGTGAACTTTGCCATAGAGAAAGCACCTTCCTACGGAAAGAGAAGTCTTGCATCTCCGTTTCTCCACCTCGGTCTTTTCCTAAATTAACCTGAACCCCAAGATGCCAGAAGTATCAGAAGCAAGAAAAAAGAGGAAAGGAAACTGAAAACTTTGGAGTAAGAATAGTAATCATCTACTTCCAAATTTGTTCTAAGAAAACATTATTTCTTTGTGGGTTTTAATGGTCTCAGATCTAGGTTGAAATGAAATGCTGTGTCAATTATTTCATTAAATCAAATCATTAGATTTACTCATCCATTCATTAAAATTACTTTTAATTCCTAGTTCATGCTATATTTTATGCATTTTTACAAGGCATTATACGTCTACGGAGCACACCCACGTCAGATCCAGCCTATCTCCATTGCGATTCACCCTGACTCCCATGGGCGCCATGGAGCACCGTTCCTTCAGCTAGGAGCAGGACCGTCTCCAGTGGTGCCTGCTTCTCCTCTCTCTTTTTACTTTATCACTTACTTCATATGTTTCATTGGTGATGAATTCATGGTCACGGAGAAGTTCAAGAAAAGGAAATGTGTGTTGTATTGCATCTGAAATCTCCACCTTACATTTTCTGAAGTGTTTGCGAGCGACCTCACAGATCTGCTTGTGGTCTCTGTTCTGGTCTCCTGAGGACATTCTAGGGAGGAAAGAAATTAAGCGAAAGTGGTTAAGATTTTGAGATGCTTATGGAGGCTGTAACACTTTATATATGAAGGATAAATTGTGAATAACCAACACATATGAGATAAGTGTTCCTGAATAGAGAGTAGATAAAATGGAATTGAAGCAATAAACAAAGATATGATAGAAAGAAGCATGGAACATGAGAGACTTACATAGTGCTGAAAAAGTTCACTCTGTCCTGGTCAAAGCCATTGTAAAGTTATGTTATTCTAAACACATCTAGAGTATTTTTTTATTAAAGTAATTTTAATTGACCTTACATATCTCTTTGGAAGATGCTATATTAGAAGTCAGCCTCTAGCAGTGCCAGTTTCATTTTTATTATTTATTTATTTATGTATTTATGTATTTATTTATTTATTTATTTATTTATTTATTTATTTATTTATGTATTTGGAATGACACTGAATCTTTATTATGTTTAAATAAATTTTTATTAAATTTATTGGAGTGGCATTGGTTAGTAAAATTATATAGGGTTCAAGTGTACATTTCTATAATACATCATCTAGATATTGCATTGTGTGTTCACTACCCAGAGCAGGTCTCCTTCCATCAGCATATATTTGACCCTTTTTACCCTTTTCTACTGCTCCTCCACCCACTTACTTTTTGATAATCACTAAACTGTGGTCTGTGTCTATGATTTTTGTTTGTTTGTTTGTCTTGTTCATTTGTTTCTTTTAGTTTTATATCCCATATACTAGTGAAGTCATATGGTTCTCAACTCTCTCTAGCTGGTTTATTTTGTTTAGCATGATAATCTCAAGATCCATCCATGTTGTCACAAATGGCAGTGTTTCATCTTTTTATGGCCAAGTAATATTTCATTTTATATATGTACCACATCTTCTTTATCTTATTATCTATTGAAGGACACTTTGGTTGTTTCCATGTCTTGGCCACCGTAAATAATGCTGCTATGAACATAGGGATATATATGTCTTTAAGGATAAATGTTTTCACATTTTAGGGGTTGATATTCAGGAGAGAGATTCCTGGGTAATATGGTAATTCAATTCTTAATTGTTTGAAGCACCTCCATACTGTTTTTCATCGTGGCTGTACAAATTTACATTCCCACCAGCAGTGTATGAGGATTCCTTTTTCTTCACAACCTTTGCAAAACTTGTTATTGCTTGTCTTATTGATAACAGCAATTCTGACAGGTGTGAGGTGGTTTCTTATTGTGGTTTTGATTTGCATTTCCCTAATAGCTAGTGCAGTTGAGCATTTTTTCATAAATCTGTTGGCCATTTGTCTTCTTGGGAGAAGTGTCTGTTCAGGTCTTCTGATCATTTTTTAATTGGATTGTTTTTTGTTGTTGTTGTTGAATTGTATGAATTCTGTATATATTTTGGATATCAGTCCCTATTGGAGGTGTTGTTTGCAAATATCTTCTCCCATTCAGTTGGTTGGCTCTTTGTGCTGTTGATGGTTTCTTTTGCTGTGCAGAAGCTTTAATAGTCATAGTCCCATTCATTTATTTTGCTTTTACTTCCCTTGCCTTTGAGGTCAAGTTCATAAAATCCTCTCTGAACCCAAGGTCCAATAAGTTTAGTAACTATTCTTTCTTCTATGCAATTTATTGTTTCAAGTCTTATGTTTAGGCTTTTGATGCATTTTGAGTTAATTTTGGTATATGGTGACAGACAGCCATCTAGTTTAATTATTTTGCAAGTGGTTTTCCAATTTTCCCAGCACCATTTATTGAAGAGGTTTTGTTTTTTTCATTGTAAGTTTTTGGCTCCTTTGTCAAAAAGTATCTGGCCATATATGCGTGGGGTTTATTTCTGAGTTTTCAATTCTTTCCCATTGGTCTGTGTGCCTGGTTTGTTTGTTTGTTTTTGCAAATACAATGCTGTTTTGATTATTGTCACTTTGTTGTATAAATTGAAGTCTGGGAGTGTGATACCTCCAGCTTTGTTCTTTTTTTGTTAGGATTACTTTTGCTACTTAGGGTCTTTTGTGAGTCCACACAAGTGTGATGATTTTTTGTTCTATTTCTTTTTAAAATGCCATTAGTGTTTTGATGAAAAATTAAACTTGTATATTACTTTGTGTAATGTAACCATTTTAACTATGTTGATTCTTGTAATCCATGAACATGAATATCTTTACTTTTTTTGTGTCTTCTTCAATTGCTTTTAATAATGTCTTATAGTTTTCAGTGTATAGGTCCTTCACATCCTTTGTTAAGTCCTAGTATTCTTTTTGTTGCAACAGAAAAAGGAATTGTTTTTTTCACTTTTTTTCCCCTGAAATTTTATTATTAGCATATATAAACACAATGGATTTTTGTACATTGATTTTGTATCCTGCAACTTTAATGTATTGTTGATTGTTTCTAATAGTTTTTTTATGGAGTCTTTAGGGTTTTTGTATATAAGAAATTGTGTCATCTGAAAAAAATTAGTTTAACTTCATTTCCAATTTGGATGCCTTTTATTTCTTTCTCTTGCCTGATTGCTCTGGTTTTAATTTGCACAAAATTGAGATGGAGTAAACAGGTCATCTAAATAGGAATAATACACAATGGAAAAACAATAGAAGCTCACTTTTAAAATGCATCTTAATTAACAACTAAGAGAAAATAAATCTCAGAAAAATAAATACAGGGTGTCCCCTCTCTGATTTATAGCAGTTAAAAGAAATACCATTCTGAATTATAAAACCAGTTCATAAATGATAAGACATGGTTTGACAATGATATAATAAGGTATAAATTGAAATTTTACAAGAATATCAGTCATTTCTCCTGGAACTTCTACTTTAATATGAATGTGTCCATGGTATTGTTGTACAGGTCTGATAATTAGGTTCATGAACTCATCCTAGAAAAAGTGCTACATACCTCATTGCTGAATGGTCACCTTGGAAGGACTCCCCTTGGGAAGCTATGCACAAATGCTAGTGCCTATTCCACCCCTCAAAGCAATTTTGGAAACTCTTTTTTCTGGAATGGCCATCAGAGCTGTTGTCATATTACCCTTGATGTCCTGAATGTCACCAAAATGTCATCCTTTCAATATTTTCTTTATCTTCGGGTAAAGAAAGAAGTCATTGTGATGGTTATATCAGGTGAGTAGGGAAGGTGTTCCAATACAGTGATTTGTTTACTGGCTAAAAGGTCCCTCCAGACAGTGCCATGTGAGCTGGTACATTGTCGTGATGCAAGAGCCACGAATTGTTGGTGAAAAGTTTAGGTCATTTTCATCTAACTTTTTCATGCAGGCTTTTCAGCACTTCCAAATAGGAAACTTGGTTAACTGTTTGTCCAGTTGGTTCAAATTCATAATGAATAATCCCTCTGATTTCAAAAAAGGTTCACAACATTGTTGCAAAAAGTTCACAAACTTAATTGTCAGACCTCATATATCTGATATACAAAGACTCTAGCCTACTGATAAAATATGATATACAATCCCAAAGCAAACAGACCTGAAAAGGCACTTAGAGTAAATGAAAATGTCCAAAACCATGTGAATACATGCAAACTAAAACATCAATGAGAAATCATGGCTCACCCATTAGATTGGCAATCACAACTTCATAAGGGACACTGCAGCGTGGCAGAAGATTCAGAGAAACGGACATTCATTGCTGGTGTGAGCATGAATTGCTGTAGCCTTACAGAAAAGATCTGGGCATATCTACTATATTTTAAGATCCACTACATATTGGCCTAGCAGTCAGCCCCACTTTTGGAACCCATTGCATGGAAATAAAAATGCCAATAAGCATCTTATAGAAACTAGAGCTCCAGAACTGTCAGTGTCTCCCCAGTTGCCCCAGAGGAAAATCAAGTCCTTACAGTGTTGAGGAGCCTGAAAGAACCCAGCCCTTCTCTCCTCTCCTGGAGCTCACTTCTCCCTGGTCAAACCGCCTCTTTGCTGTTTCTTGACTGTACCAGGCACAGTTTAGCTCTAGAAACGTGGTGCTGGCTGTCTCCTCTGTGTAGTGTGTTTTTTGTCCAGATATCCATGTAGTGAACCAACTCCCTCTTCTCCTTAAGGTCCTTCTTCCATGTCACCTTCTCAATGAAGTGGCTAACTTACTTGAAATCAAAGCCACAGCCCCCCATTCTGCTCATGCACTCACTGCCTCCTAACCTAACTCTATTACTTTGTACCATGCCCTTATTATCCCTTAACATACTAAATTAATTACTTATACATTTTATTTAGTATTTATTGTCTTATAATTGTCACTATTTTCCCCCAAAATATATATGCAATCGAGAAAGAGATTTTGTCTGTTTTGTCTATTGATTTTTCTTGAGTACCTCACATGCACAAGGTGCCAATAAATACTTGTTGAATAGATGCCCATAACTACAAAAGCCTTTATGGAAGCATTGTTTATAGCAGCAAAAAAACAACAATAGCAACCTAAACCTGAAAACAACCTGATTTCTCATTTGGATGAATGATTGAATAAGTTATGGTAAATCCATACTGCTGGAATATCACATAGCTATTTATTTTTAGTAATTTGGATAGAAGATCATAGTTTATTGATGAATAAAAACGTAAAGCTCAGGTTAAAATATATCATGACCATATTTTTATGTGTCAAAGTTTTAAAAATCTTGTGTGTAAAATTTGGAAGAAATGTTGGGAAAGGCATGTAATGCTATACCCAAGGCTGTTAACACTGGCTTATAAAAAGTGTAATGGCTCCACCTAAGTCCCTTCACATCCTTCTTTTTAAAAAAAATGTTTTTAAAATAATTTTTCTATTTTTCAATTACAGTTCATATACAATATTATATTAGTTTCAGCTGTACAACATAGTGATTAGATATTAATATTACTTGAGAGTTGATCACCCAAATAAATCTAGTACCCATGTGACACCATACACAGTTATTACAATGTTATTCACTATGTTCCTTCTGTTATACTGTATATCCCCATGACTATTTTGTAACTACTAATTTGTACTTCTGAA